AACGTCCAAGAACTCCTCAAAATACAATATAAAAAAGCTTAAGGAATCTATTAGCTAACCTAATAAAAGCTAGAAAAAAGAATGCTACGGTAAATAATAGTAGAAATTTAAATACAGTACGGAATTGCGTCAACGTAATATCATCTACACTGAAAACTAAAAGGCAAATCACATTTCACCAGCCAGGGTTTGTCTTTTCTTGTATGTAATTTCCAGGTTGAATAAGAAAAGGCGGATGCGGAACTAATTTTCAGCTTTGCATACATCTCAAGTACAGCCTCAAGTGTATTCGAGATAATAAACCAATGGAAATACCATCACATCTTGAAACTTCAGTTGAACCTGTGTCTCCATACTTTTTTACAATATCTGCCACCGTAGACTTTGCGACATTTATTTGTTTAGCAATATCCCGAAAACTCTTTCCTTGATGAAACAATTTTATGATCAACACTCTGATTGCACTGTTTGTTGCTTTACCAGGCGATATTTTAAAGCATATTGGTTCACAGAATTGATTCTTAAATCAAAACGTCAAATGGTAAACACTTTTCTGTTTTCATGGCCTGCTATTATTTACTTTCTAATATTGTGTCCGAACATTTATACTTGACAGTATTGTTAATATACTAAGTGACATATAAATCCGAACACCCAGTTTAAATGGTTTATTTTAATAAAATGTTGTATAAGTACTTAATGAAGCATAATAAGTAAATGATAAAAATTTCAAAATGATTGCACTGCTTTAAAGCCCTTTGACCTTTAATAATGTGTGGATGCACTCTGATGTGCTACGCATTCTCCAACGCGCCTAGGCATGCTTCTGATCAGGTGGTCAATGTCCTCCTGTGCTATCTCATTCCAGGCAACCACCAACTCCTCTCGAAATGCTTCTAGAGTCTGAGGAGGACGTTGCAAATTGAGCAATCTCCTACCCATCATATTCCACACGTGCTCAATTGGGGATAAGTCGGGAGATCTTGGTGGCCATGGTAACAATGTGACATCATTATGTTGAAAGAAGTCCATTGTGACTCTTGCAACATGTGGTCGGGCATTATCTTGTTGGAAAGTTGGATCTGCCAGGGTGTCAAGATAGGGTAAAAGATGGGGTTCTATAACTTCGTGGATATAACGCTGTGCGTTCATGTTACCTCTGATGAAGATTAAAGGTGACCTGGAACCATAAGCTATAGCACCCCAAACCATAACTCCAACAGTGTGATGAACATGTCTTTCAACAAAAAACTGTGGATTCCTCCTTTCACCATGTCGCCTTCTAACCCTGGCACGCCCATCGTGCAAGCCTAAACAAAATCGAGACTCGTCACTAAAGACAATACTGTTCCATTCCTGATCCCAGAGTGACCGTTGTCTGCACCACTCAAGGCGATTACGTCGGTGTTCTCGAGTTAAAGTGAGGACCCAGCGTGGCCGGTATGAAAACAAGCCAAAACTTCTCATTCGTCGGTAAACACTTCGCATGCCAATAGGTCTTCCGTGTTCTGCAAACCATTCATTTGCAATGGACCTGGTAGTGGAGAAACGGTCCCTTAAGGCCAATAATCTTAGGCGGCGATCTTCACGGTCTGTTGTTCTACGGCGGCGTCCAGTGCCCCTTGCTCTTTGCGTACGGCCTTCTCGAAGCCATGCCTGACAACACCTACCCACAGTGTCTACACTTCTTTGCACTCTAACTGCAATTGCCCGAAAAGAAACTTCAGCTTCCCGAAGTCCCACTATACGGCCCCTATCAAACTCACTAAGTTGACGAAGTCGTACAGGTCTCCGTACTCTAGGCATCGTAACCGATCGTAAAGGATGTCAAGAACCAAAATCCGCCAACGTTGATTCTTTACTGCGGCTGAAATATTCATTTTTAGAGCGTTAGTGAATTAAAAAAAAGCATTATAAAAACCGGAATGTCCAACTGATAAGGCTGAAAATTTTTTCTCTTGTTATTTACAGTAAGATAAATACATTCACCAACTTTTATTAAAATAAAACCATTTAAACTGGGTGTTCGGATTTATATGTCACTTAGTATACAATCTCCGCATTTCTTGGTCTATTATGTCGTTTATTGTCACGAGAAAGGTATAATCTTTCCAATACGATACATGAATATTCATACGCCGCTCGCAGTGCTTAGGGGAAATTGTTTTTTTCTGTCATTTGATAATACTGTTCCCCTGGTACCAGATATATCAGCGAATCCACATCGATGCGGTGGACGATTTTTCGAAATTACTCCGATAACATTACAAATTACTGAAAGCGAATTTTTGTGTGTTTTGGATACAAGCGCACTCTATCACACACCGTCCAAGAACTCCTCAAAATACAACATAAAAAAGCGTAAGGAATCTATTAACTAATCTGATAAAAGCTAGGAAAAAAGAATAATACGGTAAATAATAGTCGAAATTTAAATACAGTACGGAATTGCGTCAACGTTATATCATCTACACTGAAAACTAAGAGGCAAATAACATTTCACCAGCCAGGGTTTTTCTTTTCTTGTATGTAATTTCCAGGTTGAATAACAAAAAGCGGATGCGAAACTAATTTTCAGCTTTGCATACATCTCAAGTACAGCCTCAAGTGTATTTGAGATAATAAACCAATGGAAATGCCATCACATCTTGAAACTTCAGTTGAACCTGTGTCTCCATACTTTTTCACAATATCTGCCACCGTAGACTTTGCGACATTTATTTGTTTAGCAATATCCCGAAAACTCTTTCCTTGATGAAACAATTTTATGATCAACACTCTGATTGCACCGTTTGTTGCTTTACCACGCGATATTTTAAAGCATATTGGTTCACGGAATTGATTCTTAAATCAAAACGTCAAATCGTAAACACTTTTCTGTTTCCATGGCCTGCTATTATTTACTTTCTAATATCGTGTCCGAACATTTATACTTGAAAACAGTATTGTTAATATCATGTGCAGACAATATGTTTCATTGTCTAGCCAAAGAAAAACTATTAATTTTTAACCTTACAAAAATAAACAAACTTTTAGATAACATTAGATAATGTCCGAACATTTTTTTGTTAGGGCTCGTATAATGTCAAAAAAAAAACGACATAATGTCACCATTTAAGACGCGTTATACCACTTCGGCTTTGATTTGGATGACATTTTAACACAACGCAGCTACTATGTCAAGGACGAAAAAGATTTGTAGATCTTGAAAATCGGTCCAGTGGCGGAGAAGCTAGGGATAAAAAGGCAAAGCAAATAAAAATCGCTCAAACTTCGTTTTCTTAAGTTTCATCTTTTGTATGGGTTGAAATTTGTGGGTTGGGGTAGTAGCGTTTAGAGGAGGTATATATATATAGAGAATATGATCATGCGGAGAAAGGTATATAATAACAAGTAGGAAAATAATGAGCAAACTCCGCAAAAAGGATTAAAGTGGATTCGAGCAGAAAATAGGATAGGTAACCCGAGCGATACGTATTTCTGCTGGTTGGCTTCATCAGGCCCGAAATGAATGCACATATGAAACTACAAAAGTACATACACATGCCCACACATCCGGATACGGGTGTAACCTGAGGAAACGAAGTTGAAGGGGAAAAAAACGACACACGAAGTCCACAACAAGAGCCAACCTACACATTGTAGTATAAAATGGCTATACGACCCCGAATTTTTATACCTTTCTCCGCATGATCATATTCTCTTTGTAGATCCTTTGGGCTTGAAGTACCACAGCAAGTGGCTATAACCGGCCACGTGGTAGTGGTTAGACGTCTCCTTGAAAATTCGAGGTCGTATAGCCATTTTATACTACAATGTGTACGTTGGCTCTTATTGTGGACTTCGTGTGTCATTTTTTTCCCCTCCAACTTCGTTTCCTCAGGTTACACCCGTATCCGGATGTGTGGGCATGTGTATCTACTTTTGTAGTTTCATATGTGCATTCATTTCGGGCCTGATGAAGCCAACCAGCAGAAATACGTATCGCTCGGGTTACCTATCCTATTTTCTGCTCGAATCCACCTTACTCCTTTTTGCGGATTTTGCCCATTATTTTCCTACTTGTCTTATATATATAATCAAACTCTCATTAACCCTAAAGGGCGTAGTGAAAGAAAGTATTTGTCACAACTAAGCTAAATATTTGACAAGTCCAGAAGTCTCATACCATTATTGTTTCTCATTATTTCACTATGATTTCCACATCACTAAATAAATCATCTCTTTTACCAACACGACCACTAAAATTGCCCATTCACTGGACAACAAATTTTAGTTTTTTAATTGTATCTTGTGGAAAAGTGCACTTCTTTGTTAATTTTGGGGCGCTGAATCCAAAAATGACAATGAAATAAAAAAATTAGTTGCGGTTTAGAAAAAAAAACTTTTTATTTTTAAAGATATATTAAAAGAAGTAACAAGATTCATATACTTAGGGTAATTCCGGTAGAGATCGACCACCGGGAGAGACCGACCATTACCGATAACTTAACCACAAAGCAATAGATGAATCCGTGACTCACATGTATGATGAGATTAGTTGACTTTGTTAAATCGAACACGTAAACACGGCCGGTAACAGTAATATAAGTTTACAAATTAATTTCAAAAGTTTGTGCAAACTTGAAATTTTGTTGACTGATTTACTGTGTTCGCGATATTCTAAAGACAGGTAAGTTTATTTAAATTGTTTCAATACTGGATGATAAAATATGCATGAAACTATAACATAACTCCAAAAATGTAGGCATTTCTCATTTTTCCTTCGGTTAACAAGGTGGTCGGTCTCTCCCGTAACATTGGTAGAGTACGACCATATCAATCCGGGAGAGACCGACCATGGAAATAATAATAGTAATAATGAAATATTCTGCGGTCTGGAGGAAATTGGTGATATAATAAAGCTCAATTCAATAAAATAAATTGATTGTAATATAATATTGTTACAGATTAACAAAAATGCCCACGACTTACAAATGGAAAAATGGGGAGAGAGCTAAATGGGTGTAAATAAAGCCGCCAGACAATTTGGAATACCCAAAACAACGCTAAAAGAGAGGATTAAGAAGGAAGATGGAATAAAACAATACAGGTTGAAAAAGTGTTTCTTCGTTAAAACATCAAGTGAGAAGGGCAAAACAATTTCGGTTATAGTGAGCTGCCATGCAGAGGGAATGTTTCTCCCACCTTACTCGATATTTAAAGGTAAAAATAAAAAAAAGGAGTTTTTAGAAGGAATGCCACCTGGCTACCAAATTTCTATGTCGGAGAAATCGGCGTATATCAACGCTTCCATTTTCAAGGATTGTTTGGAGTTTCATTTTTTGCCAAGAAAACCAGCTGGAAAAGTGTGGCCATACTTCTCATACCAATTCTGTGAAAATACTGGAATTTTGTGAAGCTAATGACATAATGCTACTTTGTTTACCGAGTCACACGACTCATTATCTACTACCGTTGGATAGGTCCTTTTTTAAATCTCTGAAAAACCATTACTACGCGGCTTGAAACAATTTTTTAAAAGCAAATCCAAGTAGGAAAATAACAAGGATACTTTTTGGAATTCTTTTGGGACAAGCCTGAGGCATAACCTAGAAGTTATTCCAAATTACGTTTATATTAATATTCAAATGGACCAAGATGCAGAGACCAGGTCTGGTTCAAATAGTAGCGCTAAAAATCCATCCTCTACTTCGACTCCGCCCGGTCCCCTCCCGCTCAGAGCACTAATACCCGCCTGCCTGGTGGTTCGCACGATCCTGACAGTGCAATAGTTGAGATTTACCCCACACTCAACTCTACACCAGCAAAATTGTTGGAGAACGTGATTTCGCCAGTTCCAAAAACTAGCGCAAAAACAGCAGTTAAAACACGAGGTAGGCAGTTTGCAACTATTTTAAACAGTTCACAACGCATTGAGTTTCAGAAGGATAAAAAGAATACAAAGAAAAAAACAAATGTCCAATTCAGAAAAAAAATGTAGTTTAACAGAAAAAACTATTAGAATATCCAGATTCGGAGAGCGAAAGTTCAGTATTGCAGGAAAGTGATACATCAGCAGATGAATGGGAATATTACTAATGTGTAGGATGTGGGGAAACCAATAAGAACGACGAATGGCTCAAATGTGTGAACTGTAGTCGTTGGTTCCATAATGGATGCTCAAAATTCGGGAATATTTGCGATATATGCAGAAAAATTAAAAAGAAAAGTCGAAAAAATTAAATTTATTTATACGCTCTAATTCTACGTTTATTATTATACTGTTCTAACATTTTATGTTTTTTTATTTTTCGAAGTCGATCTCACCCGTAGTTGGTGGTCGGTCTAACCCGGACATCCGGGTGAGATCGACCAGTTACAATGTTTAAACTTTTAGTTCAAAATAAACATTTGTTGTATTATATCTGAAATTGTAATTTATTTACTATCCTAACCCTTTAGGTAATACTTCCACAGTTAAAAAAATATGTACCTCAGAAGCCAAAAAATTTACAAAATTTTTTCCAAAATGTGGTCGATCTCTCCCGGACTTACCCTATAAGAATCACTATATGCGCTGTCTTTTTGCTGTTCTTTTATGAATCGTTTCTGAAGCATCTCTACCAAGAGTCCAACAGTAGTCTGCAAGCATGGAAAGATTCCACTTTCGCTGGTACCTTTTTTCCATTGTTGAAATATCCTGATGAAAACGTTCGCCGTGCTCATCACTTACGGCTCCGCAATTGTCAGGAAAAAAGTCCAGGTGTGAGTGTAGGAAATGTATCTTAAGAGACATATTACAGCCCATCTTTTGATACGATGACAGCATATTTTTGACAAGGGTTTTATAGTTGTCAGCTTTTCTATTTCCCAAGAAATTAGTGACCACCAGACGGAAATCATTCCAAGCAGTTTTTTCAATACCTGTTAAAGTGTTTTCAAACTGTGTATCTTTCAAAATATTTCGAATCTGTGGCCCAACAAAAATACCTTCTTTAACCTTTGCCTCACTTAGTCTTGGAAATTTCTGACGCAGGTATTGAAAAGCTGACCCATCTCTATCTAATGCCTTGACAAAGTTTTTCATTAGGCCCAACTTGATATGCAGTGGTGGTAATAATTTTTTTTTCGAATCTACTAATGGCATATGCTGTACATTTTACATTTTACAAAACTTTGTGTAGCCTAGCTGCAGCCCAAGTAAAAGTGCAACAACTTTCAAATCGCCACAAACATGCCATTGGTGCTCATCGTATTTTATGCATGTCAATAGGTACTTCATATTGTCATATGATTCTTTCATGTGAACTGCATACCCTACAGGAAGAGATGGTAAAATATTTCCAATATGCAATAACACTGCCTTTAAACTCAATGTTGAACTGTCTATAAACAATCTCCGTTCTTCTGGGTTATAGTTTATATTTGAAGCCGCCAGTAAGCCGTTAATGTTACTGCAGAAAACCAAGTTATTCTCCATATTGAAAAATGGTCTTTGTGGCGTTTACGAAAAACACATACCGAAACATCGTCTTCTAACAGGTTCCACTGCTGCAGTCTTGATCCTAGTAACTCTGCCTTACATTTTGGAAGTTCTAAATCTCTTATAAGATTATTTAATTCTGACTGTGTTATTTTGTGCGGTTGGTGGCATGACGTGCTCGGTATAAAATCAGGATCCCTTGACGTTGATGGCATATCTTCTTCCTGACGAATCACTCGATCGCCGTGATCTGATTCGCAAGTGTAGGATTCTGGGGGTTTTGGAATAGGATTTTCGTCACTGTGAGGCACAGGTCTCATCGCAGATGGTATGTTTGAGTAGGTAATAACTGATTTTTTTTTCTTGGGCATACCTGTGGCTTGTCCAACACAAGGTACCATGCAAAAGTAACAATCATTAATATGATTTGTAGGCTCTTTCCAAACCATTGGGACAGCAAAGCGCATAGACCGTTTTTTGCCATTTAATCAGCTCCTCAGACTTGAAGCACATGTATTACAGCAGATGTGGGGTGCCCACTGTTTGTCTTAATCACCTAGTTTACAACAGAAATAAAGCTGATATGCCTTTGTTATTAGTGGAGTAATAGACCGTCTCTGAGATCCAAAAGTCACATCACCACACACGTAACAAATCTGATCTGGATTGTTTACACACTTTCGAGACATCTTGCATGAACGCTGTCAGCCAACTGAGGAAAAAATGGCTAATATAAAACAATATAATGTACACGTATGTATAACGTAACACAATCATGCCGATTACATCATCTTTCCTTGCCGAATATAAAAATGTAGTACGTGCATTCTTGTGAGTTACAGTATATTAACACTGTCACAGCAGGAACACATATAATTACCGTATCTCTAAAACTTGAACTTATATTGAAAAAATAAGTTTCATTCCGGTTTTAGCACATTAAAAATAGTAATATTTTGTTGATTTTATTTAGGATATTTTTTGGCTGTTGATCAGTGTTATGTATAAATTCCTTTTCGCTGACTCTACTGCCTTTGATAGGAGTTCCCAAAATAAATCTTTGCCTTGTTTCTTCTCATTTTCATCAGGCCCGTAAATCCCAATGATAGTCTTTACACCTTATCTTCCTTCAATTACTAGTATTCTTTCTGATATTGACTCCCACCTAGGTATGAAATTCCTGTGTATTAAGATATGCCCATTCCCTAGATTTTCAAACCTATTTCCCTTTTTCTTTATTTCTGTTATTACCAGAATTTCTATTTTTGATTTTTCAAATTCACTAACCAGCTCAGATTCTTTGTTAATTATGCTTGTTATATTCCAGGTTGCCAATGTCATGATGGCATCCTGCAATCTTCATTTTTTATGTTTATATATTCCTTATTCGTTTCCGTTGCCGTAGCCTGTTTCGTGTTCATTTTCCAGTTTTTGCTTATTATTTTTGGGATTTTTTTTTCCATTTTCTCTAATTCGCTTGTTTCTGCATTCCATTTCCACACATCATTATCCACTATTAGTTTTTGATAACCCATTTTAGTGTGTTCACCTTCATTTCTTTCCTCGTTTGTCTTGTCTCTTATTTTCTTTTGTATGTCTCGTTCAGTTTTAGTTGAATCATCATTGATATATGTTCTTTCCTCTAATTCTTTAAGCCTGTGCTTATTTTGCATCATTTTCACTTTATCGTCCATGCTGTTAAGTTCTACTAAACATAACTTTTCTGATAATTTTCTGGCTCCATTGACTGTTACTGCTACTTTCAATTTTTCTCCAATAAACCTTACCATCTTTTCTCGCAAATTTGCTGTTTTGACCGTATTTAAGGAATATCCTTGTACAACAATGTTTTTCCTCCGTTTTTCACTTTCCATTTTCTCTATTTTACCCTTAGATATGGTGATTTCCTGTCTTAACTGTTCCACTTCTTTCTTTACCTGTTCGTTTTCCTCTCTAAGAATTTTTACCTCTATTTTGTATTCATTTTGTTCTTTTCTCTGCTGTTTTATTTCCTCATACAATGCATTCACATCCTTTCCACATTCTTCCTGGTTTTGTTTGATTTCCTCAACATCCGCAGTGAGATTTGTTAGAAGCCCCATTATTTGTGTCACAATATCTTCCTTCGATTGCACCACTTTGATGGGGATCTGCTCAATTTTTTGCGTTTTGGTAAAAATTTCTTTCGCAACATCCCTTTTTCTTTTCCCTTCATCAGTAGTGTAATCATCCGAGTCTGTAATACTGTTCATCTAAGGTTTATTTGTTGTATTTCAGCCGATATGCGTTGTTTCTTCTATTTAATCTATTATGAGGTTTGATAGGAAATTTCAGGGTCGCGATAGTGGTTAAATCCACCTCAACAGTTCGGAGATATCATGTATCTTCCAATCCCTGAAAACTTCCAAATCCGGCATCACCGCATAAAATTCCAACAGCAATTAACCTTTTGTTTATGTACTCTGCCACTGATAACATCACCTTTTGCTTATATAAAAATTCACTGTTTTACACTTTTCACCTGGTTTTGTCTACTGTTCTTTGTCTTGAATAATGGGTTGATATAAGAATTCTATTCACTATAACACCCGTAAACGGAAAAATTATAGGCAAATTTTTGAATACGTCTTCAAGTTTTCAACGAGATGTTGCCACCTCCAGGTAGAGGAGTTATTTGAAGTAAGCATTTTATACTCTCCCAGCCCAGGTAATTCTATGTACTCGGAATTCATTAGTTGACTCAATAATAGAAATAATAATAATAATATTTATTCGCCAAAATAAAAAAAAATGGGCAATTAAGTATGAAAAAAACCACAGAAGGCACCGCCTGTATGTGGATTATATCTTAATAGCTAACAATCAATCATATGTGTTTAACAATTATTGTTGATTCTAAAAAGTATTAATATAATTGGAATTTTGTAGTTTTCT